GTATCTTTTTCTTTAAGAATGTTGAGAAAGGTCACGGTATGTTGTAACTAATAAAGCTGTTGAGTAAGGAAGTTTAAAGTTGATCTTGCTGTGCTTAAATGTAACCCAATGACAAAAAGGCTGAGGGAACTAAAATTGTAATGACATTAAAAAATAGATCATATATCAATGTGCCAACTTCATTATACAAACACCTTGAATCCAAAGGACACAAACAGAAAAACCGAGTGTAGTCTTGCAATAGTATTCCTCTCGCGATTCTCTCCCTAATAGCTTCCAACTACAATGTGCAGTTCAACTAACTGCAAAAACTGATTAATAAGCATTAGTTGGTACATGCAATGCACAGACCTTCCATTGCAAGCCGTGGATTTTGTTACTTGATTAAAAACCGGGTTCATTTCCTGTGCAGTTTCAAGGAAAGCTCTGCTGTTTCACAAGAGAGCCTCTTCAAAATTTAAAAAAAAAAAAAAGAAAGGAAAAAGGCCTGAGGGCATCAATTAAATTTCCTGAAACCAAGATTTTTAGGTGAAAAAGAAGTTCCATCAAGACACCTATGTTTCAGTTTTTCTTCAGAGGAATCAGGACAGTTACGTTTGCTATTCTCAAATTGCCAAAGTAGCTTTACTCTCTTTGCTGCAGATCACCAGACAGCAGCCTTCCGACTTTGTCTTTAAGAACGCTGAGAACGATGTTGAAACGCTACAACAATAAAGCCCTTGAAGGAGCAAAAAAATGCGAGGAGTTTAATACTGAAACAAACAACTGTCCCGTTAGGCTGTGCCCACTGCTGGTACCACCAGAAGTGCAGACTGCTAGGGCAGAGCAGTTTGTGTGGAAAGAGCAATCTCTGATATGGAAGTTAGCAAGTTATGGACTTGATTTTCACTTCTCTTGAGGCCGATTTGCACTGCTCTGGTTGTGTAAAGGAGTACTAGGGTGGTTATAAATTGGCCTTTATGGTGCCTGTGTATCGCAAAACCACTTGGAAGTGGTCGTAGTTTAAATAAGAATCAGGTTCGAAGGCTTTAATTCTCCTTTTGATGAACACCAATTCAGTTCAAGATGAATCCTGCAGATGAAACTGGGGAAGAATAAAGGGTTCCGAAAATAAGCACGAGTGGCTAGAATTTTCGATAATTTAGGATGTCTTAATTTTTGGATGCAGTGATGGGCACACTTCATTTTCAGGGAATGGACTGTCGAGGACCTCCTGACAAAGTGGCGCTCGTTAATGGATCTCCAGTTGAGCATCCCAAAATGGAATTGGCCTAAAACCATCATCACTTCTGAAAATTTTGGCAGCCAGTGTTCCTTTCAAGGGTTCATAGGCCGCTTACGTGACTGGATTTTATAGGTGGTGTTATTTGAATTGTTTTATATAATCTCATTGATTTTTATGGGACTAACTCAGAGTGCCTTAAGTTAAACATTCTGCTAAGACTTGAGTACAACTGGTCTTAATTAGGTTTTTCCCACTACTATGGTTTTCCCCTGCCAAAGGCAGAGCAAACTTCTTAGAATGGTTTTCTCCCCCTTCGAAACAACGACACGTGCCGTAACTAGTGCTATGAAAAGAGGCAATCATCACATCAAGTCCCACTGTACCAAAACTGCATCCAGTGTATTTGTGCAAATAACGCAGCTTGGCAGACGTTTCACTATTGTGATCAATCTCAATAACTACGTCTGCAAAATCGGGCGAGTTCCCGTGAAGCAGCAGGCAGGCTGAGCTCAGAAAGATGGCGTGTGCAGGGGCTTGCTTTGGTGCTCATTTGCTCGCTACGCAGAGGAGCGTGGCGAGTGCAAGGAGTAGGCAGGAGGGCATAGAGCGAAATCGCTAGCACAGAGAGAGACCCTGAGACTTCAGAACTAAGACTGAGTCGTCAAATGCCCACAAGGAAAAGGAACGGGCATCGTGCAGAGAGACATTAATACACGGAGAACGACGGAAACTACAAAAATTGCCAGGGAACGAGGACGATGGAGGAGGAGTGGGAGCCAAAGCAAGGCTAAAAACCAGGTATTGTCCTCAGGCCAATTTCTTTTGCTTGTTTTAAGTACATAAATTGAAAAAAAAAATTCTTATGTATGGTTTTTAACCCTATTTTTACTTTAACTCTCAGCATGGTGTCCCCCTTGTTTGAAATCATCCTGCCACAGTCACAACTGTGAGCTCTGTTGATCTGTGTTAGGATGGATTTTGAAAGAGTTACAAAATTATTTGGGATTTTAATTTTTTTTCCTTTTAATGCATAGCAACAATACCTGACTTTAATTATTGTAGCTGGCATTCAAAAGCCTATGGCACCACCACAGATGAGGCAGATATCAAGTGGCACAGCAAGCTGCCCTCTCTTTCTGACCAACTTCGGCATTTGTGCTGGGACACTGACATTTGTGGTTTTCATTCACCAGGACAGCCCACCTTCTCCCTCCCTGGAAGAACGGCCCCAGAGCAGAGAAGCATCTTCACCTTCCACAAAAAGAATAGTGGGCTTCCCCCCCACCCTGCCTTTCAAAACTCAGTTCCAAATTGCTCCTCCAGCTAACCCTACTGCGAGAGAGGGAGAAATGTGGAACTGGCTACACACATACACACATGGGTGCACATAAAACACAGGCAAAGTTGCACCACACTGGAGGAGGCGTTCTGTCTGTCTCTGGCTCACAGCCACAAGGGTACAATGGCAAAGCTAAAAATGATAGGACATGTGGTTTGTTAAACATCTTATTTGACTTTGCTACAAGCTGTCAGTTGCAATGCACAGGGAAAGGAACACAGTATCACAGATTCCTGAGCAAACCAGCGGCATAGCCTGATACGGACCAAATGCACATTTTAGCTTTATCATTTTTTCCTAATAGTCAATTCAGGACAATATGCACGAATATGCATGAATTTCACCCAAGAAGAGATAAAGGGGGAAGGTTTAGGAATAGTAGTGCAGGTGATTTAAGAGAAACAGCATATCAGACTAATCAGAAGATCAGCAAAGCATCATTGAAGTATGAGAGGAAAGAACTTTGATGATGCTAAATATGGCAAATGCTCAGTTTGCTAAATCCTTTTGGATCCAGTTTCAGCATTACAGTACTTGTCATTTTTGCTCTGCAGCTTGGGCGGGGGAGGGACCGGGCATTTATCAGGAAAACTTATTTTGGCTGTGTTAAAAACTGCACCATACAGTTTAATGATCTCGTAACTGCTGGATCTTCAGTGCAACACCAAGATTTAAACCTCTAGGAAATTCTCATTATACTAAATAACACAAGAAAGACTGAGTGAAAGAACCTGCAAATCATTGCCACTTAAAACATCTCTTTCCTTTCACGATGGGGGAAAAAAACCCAGGGGGCTCCTTTCCTATCAGCTGCTAAACCCCTTGGCCAAGGAGACTGCAATCACTAGCAGTGCTAAACATACGAGATTTGTATTTTCTTATCTACCTGAAAACACCTATATGCTCCCCACAATTCTTCACTGAAGTAATCCATTTACATTAACACCGCAACTAACATTTCGAAAAGGAGTAATAAGTGCCTGAAATCATCAACAATACGAGAACTTTTGAGGGCAAAGAACATTTCAACCTACGTTCTGCAAACAGAAAAAAGTTGCATTAAAAAGAGAAAAAGCTTGAGGGAATTTAAGCACATTTTGACAGAAAAAAGTTGGTCACAGTGATCTCCCTAACGTATTTCCTTTTCTTTTCCTGTATTTAGCTATTATGCCTTGGCATACAGGCAGACCTACCTCCCAGGGGTGGGAGTCTCCTGTCTTGCGCGTGTGTGAGTACCTAACAGGGCCAGAGCCCTCAGGAGGACCTGGGGAGGCCACGGCACACCAAACATGAAGTCTGGATGTTGGCCAGGCCACGGCACACCAAACATGAAGTCTGGATGTTGGCCAGGCCACGGCACACCAAACATGAAGTCTGGATGTTGGCCAGGCCACGGCACACCAAACATGAAGTCTGGATGTTGTCGTCAGCCACAATGAATAGCAAACTCCTCAAGGAACATCTTCTTCCTCAACTCTTCCTTCATCTGCCCCTTCCATGCAACCATTCTCCCAGAAAACTGTGTGCCCAAAAAAGGGGGAAGGAGCTGAGAAAGTCTTTGCTTAGAGACTTTTTTGCATCATCTGAACTTACGTGCTGTGAAAACAAGCACTGCTAAAAATCCTTTGGAAAGATTTTAGGCAGGAAACCACCCTCCTTATGCTGACAAATGTCACTTTTGCTACAGGAGGGGGCTCATTATGCAATTTGACCCCGAGTGAAACGTGCAGACAAAAAAAAATATTAATAATTAGTACCACCATCACTTTCCCACTCCACTTCACCAAGAGATGGGATTACTCGAGCCTCCCCCTCCCGCACACCCTCTTCAAATGCATCATTACATCTGACTACCTGAACAATGCAAACTGCCATCCTCAGCAGGGAGAAACACTCTCCCGTGGTATCGCCGAGGGTCAGCATGTTAATGATAACAATAGTCTGCTGAGCTACCAGGCTGGCCTGTAAACAGGAATCTTAATCAAAGCCACAAACCCGTTACAGCAGAAAACAGAGAGCATTTACTTCGAGTAGTCATTTTATCCTGCAGCTTGACAAAGCAAATGCATTTCAGTTCTATAAATCAAATGAAGGAAAGCAGAGGAAGGTAACTGCAAGTGTTTGATCACGCAATTACGGAGCTATAGAACAGCTGTGAGGTGACTTCTTTCACTACTGTCTCTCCTAAAGGAAACTTCAAAAAGTCAAAACTAAGAAACTTATCAAAAAAAGTGAAAACTTTTATCTCTTGTCAAGTCCTACTGAGGCGTAAGTCTCCAGCTACCAGGGCTAAAAAGATTAATTAGCGTCATTCGGGGATGTGGAATGCCCAGATTCCACCGGTCACGGCCACAACAAAAAGGTACATTATTTTATAAAGGCAGCCTGGACTATGGAGCGACTCGCACACACACAGAAAAAAAGATCGGTGCCTACCTCAAAATCATTTG